TTTAATTACATTTTTAATTTTATTGTATATTACAAGTTTCATGATTTATTTTACATATTGTTTTTTGTTCTGAATGAAATAGGTAAAAGTCTTTTTTCCAAAGAAATATTTAAAATGTTAGGTACCTTATAAACTTAATAAGTCAATACTCAATAGTTATATTTATATAGGAATAGCGGAATAGGTTAGATAGGTTGGTAGATAAAATTAAAAATAATATTTATCATGCATTTAAAAACTACATAAAAATGTTAAAGAAGGTAAGAAATTGGTAAGTAAGATTTATTTGAAAATATAACAAAAATTTACCAATTTACCGAATTTTACGTAAATTTTAACGGTAAATTTACAGAATTTTTTTACCGGTAAATTCCACATCTCTAGATATAATATCATTGAATTCAAATGTAATACCATCCATTATACAGTGACCCACTTGTAACCCACTGTACAGCAGAGCGACACCCACTTGCCCACCTTTTTTTAGATAATTATACTCTAAATAAGTTGGTAACATAATAAATTAAGAATTGTTATTTTTTTTACCTGTAATGTTAATTTATATACTTTTTTGGTGCTCCCGCTTAACGTTTTTGGAGCACCTACTCGTATGTCGCTTAAGCTTTTTGGTGCTTACGCCTTATTTTTGTTATTAACCTGAATTTTGGTGGTTACAACCAGCATAATAATAATAATTGTATTATAATTTCATTCTACTCTGTTTATTTAAAAATGAACAAAACGAAATTTATAGATATTATCAATAATTATAATAACCAACAATTAATTAAAACCGAAAAAAAATATTTAAAATTATTATAAACAGCTGTGGTGGTTATGCTCAAAAATATTGTTTTGTATTTTATAATAGTTATTATTTACAAATCCTTTGACGACTTTGATTTTTTATTTTTGTAGTCTTTGATTGGATTTATATATAGGTACACCTAGTTCAAATTGTTTATAAGATATTATATTCTTTTTTTTTTTTTTCAACATCGCCCTCCATCTTCGATAGCCATGGATCGAAGGCCTGGCTTCTAAGGTGACTGGAATTCGGAGTTTGGACCTCCGACCCACCCCGCACCTCAGTATCACGCTCATCTGAAACGGCCTCACAGCGGCAGGAGTGCCCCTGGGCTTTAGTAAGACACAAACGGCACGGTCGGACACCGTCCAGGTGACCCCACGATTGAGGTGACAACGGGTACTCGGGATGTGCCTATCGATGCCACTGACCGATAGGCCGAGAATATGGAGTACGAGACTTCGAGACTGGCGGGCGGTAAGCCTGGTTGAGAAGAACAAGGAAGACGACAAAATGCTTGAATCAGCCTTAATCATTTTATATCTCTGGAATAAGTGCGATAGAGTAACCACGCTTAGAAAAATCGTACTTAGGGCCCAGTGGAGGTAATACACTGGTGTATTGGTTGTATATTTGCACTATGTGTTTTTTGTACAATAAACATTGCTGCATGGGGGCCGATAATTTCATTTATTTACGCTCAAATATGGATAAGTTTCTAGTACCCAGACGGATATGAATGTTAATAACTTGCTGTGGCAATTTGTTATTTTTCAACCGACGATATAATTAAGATAAAAAATAAAGATTTCTAATTAAGAAGAATAAGATATCTAATTAAGATAAATAAGATATATAAAGAATGTTGATTACCAAATATTATTTTATATTGCGTGATATATTTTAATTTCTTTTGATTTTTATACCTAAATATGTTCGTATCTGGTATATTCATTCTATAAGTATATTTAACTGTATAAGAGTATATTATTATTCATATATTACAAAAGCATAATATTTAGTGGTGTCATGAACATACGTCCACAACATTTATATTATAAAATTGTATTATCTAATAGAATCACTGTTGAAAATTGTCTCCAACTATTTATTTAGTACCACATCCACATCTGGATCGACTGGATCGCTTGCAGGCCGAATGCAACATGACAGTTACAATATTATAATCCATAAATATAAATACACTCATCGATTTTCTACTATAATCAACTATAACAAATAATTCTTTGATATTACGTACCTATATATACTTAATACCTATTGTACTTTTGCGACTATAATATTATATTTAAAAGAGAAAAACTTAGGTATGTTTCTTCATGATATCAAATTTGAATGAAAAATAGCTTCAACGGAAGTCGCTCAAGAGAAATGTTAGTAATAATTAGGCCACCCTTCCACTCACTTACTCACTCACTCACTCATTCATCATTCATCATTATTTAAAATACGTACGATACTGAAATACAATTTAGAATAGTAGTTCCTCTGATGCTCAAGATATGCAATAAGACAGGATTTTTCCAGATATACACATTTTAAAGAGACTGTCAAATCGGGATCTTGAGATTCACGGTGGTAATTGAAACTTTTTTTGAAACTTTTTCCATTGAGCAAGATCAGCTACAAAGCATGCATCAAATTGCCACGCTAATGGCCTTAAATAAGAAAACTAGATCTTAAAATCAAATATATGTGTGTAGGTTATTATACTTAAATAGTACTCAATTGAATTTTACGAAAATCTCAGAGATTGTTTTTGGAGGTGTCAGAAAAGTTTATATAGTAAGTAGTTTAAATCACTTTAAAAAATATACCAAGTGCTAAATCCAATCCACCACTTTCAGTTCTTGGCAAAATTATTTCACAAATCTATAGGTACACTGACGCCGATTTGTCCATGAACACTGCCGTATACTAAAACTGTATGTCTAGAGCAGTGGTTCTTAACGGGGGCGCTACCGCCCCCTTGGGGTCATTTCGGTCTCCATGGGGGGCGATAGTTTTGAAGGGGGGGGGGGGGGGTGAGATTTTTCAAACTCGGAGATTAAAAATAATACAATTTATTAATATTATATAACAACACTACAAATAATTGAACGTGAAATCAGAATAATTGTAATTGCGTACGATACAACGACATACGGAATGTTATCTAATCGCATTTTACGTATCGGGAACGTCTTGTTTATAATAAATTTATTTTTACATTTTCAACCATAACTGGACTATTGTATACTGTACCTTGCAAGTTGAAAAAGGATTCAGCGTTGTTGTTCAGCTTTTGACGAAACGAAGAAATCGGTTGGACATTTGTAACAAAGGTGATCTACGTTTAGCTTTGACCAATATCGAACCAGACATCGCCACGTTAGCAGCTACTCATCAGGCTCAGGGCAGTCATTGATAAGTATAATTTTTATATTTTATAATTTTTTTTTTTCATAGTTAAGTAATTCTTTTTGTATAGTAAAGTAAAATTTTTTTGTTTAATGGTGAAAAATATAACCTTTATTATCTAAAAATAAGAGTTTTTTCTAAAGGGATAGCTAAAGGGCTGACCCCCCCTCCATTGCCCGTATTATTGTTACTTTTCAAAAAAATATTAATCAAGTTAAACTGTCAACTATAGTAAGAAAGAAGTAAATTTCATATATGTCTTACCAGAATGAATTCATTTTTGATAGAACATTGTATTTGCATACCAATTTTCATAAATTATCTGTAATTTTTAGATAAAAGTATGAACTACTTGTATGAAAGACCTCGTATTAAATTGTCTAGCCTTAGCTATATATATTTTGTATTTTATAAGTTTTGAACTACAAATTAACTGTCATTTTGACGAAATTTGAACTTTAAATGCTTATAAAAAATAACCATGATTCCTATAATCCTATGTAGTGTTTGAAGTATGAAATATTTCACAAAAACGTGACACATTGAATTTTTTTTACACCAATAAAAACACTATTTATTTATTTTTTTAACACAATGTTCAATGTTCTAAATTCTAATGACAGAATTCAGTATTTATACAATATACATGTATAATATTGTATACCTACTTGTATCATTTAAACATTAAAATATTTAAAAATTTTGAATACCATTTTAAATGTATAATACCAAAGGTTAGATATACATACAGGTACCATATAGTTATGAAGGTAATTTATGACAGTTATATCTAAATATAAAACTTATTTAAAAATAAAACAAAATATATCAAAATACTGAAATATTTAATTTTTTTTAAATTTCATGAAATTTTCAAACACTATGCTTATGTATCGTTAATATTTTAGCTATAATAAAATAACTTACGTATTCCATTTTTAAGGTTTTTGACCTGATAAATAATTTTTTATTAACATTTATAGAAAAAAAATATTTAATTATTCAAATACAATCCAAGTGAAGACGGTATAACCAAACATTTAAATAAATTTTCATTTTTTTTTCTCCAATTAATTTTAAAAGCACTGAGCATTTTCAATTTTGACCTCCTAAAAGTACCAACTAGATCCAATTTGCTTCCAAAAACATACACTGGACACGAAGCTTATGATCTGAGCATTTTTTACCTCAAATAAACGTCTGAAATTATTAGACTGGACAAAATAAAAATGTAACTCATTTTCAACCCCCCCCCCCCCATTGAAAAATCACTGTGTAACTCCGTACCACACCACTCCTTAATATTTTTGTAATCTGGTATGTGTGAACATAAAAAGTTAAAAAGTAGAATTAAAAATAATAATCAAATATATTAATTTTGTTGCAAAAATGTTCATCAACAAAACCAAGTCAATATAATAACTAAACAAGAGGTACTATTGATAAAAAGTAATATTAAGAATAATTATTATTTCAAGTACAATAGAAAAACAAATAAATTATTAAACAATGAAAAATCGGTATATGCTAAAAACTGTTCAAATTTAATATTTGTCAATTATTATACATAATATATAATGCTTAGGTACTACCTATGTATTATGACTTACATATCTATTATGTTTGGTGAAATGAGAATTGTATCAACTGTTAAAAATTGTTACACATAATTAAAATTAACAAAATTAACAAAATTAACTTATTTATACAAATATTGATTTCAATTACATTTAGAATAAATTTCTTTAAAAACATTACCATACCTAAATACTTATGGGACATAATTATATTTTTTATACAGTTCACGAATCCATTGAATGTGATGTTTAACTTCTGTAAAAACAGCGATTGAGTTTTTTGTATTTGGATCTTTTATACTCACTACTCCGGTTAAATAATATGAATTGGAGTGTAAAAAGCTTAAGCCTGCACCGCTATCTCCCGTACCCACTCCTTGTCCTGAAATTAAAAATAATTTATTCATAATACTTAAATGAATCACATGGCAGTTATTACTTATTTGACGGTAGTAGGTACAATATGGATATACCTTATTAATGACAAATAATGTACAAGTACCTACTATGGTACAAGGGTTTGTTAAAGGAATTTGTGATGAAAGTAATTGTTAGTCGATAATTCAATGAATTTCAAACCATAGTTATTAATATTTATTATTAATAACCTAATTGCAAAATTAAAATTATACTATTATATTATTATGATTATCAAACCTTTTGTGAATGACTCATCAACTACTTCCAAAAAAATGTTATACTGAGAGGATAATTTTAAGAGGATTATTGCAGATAGTTGAAAATTAGTTGTAAAATATTGGTATAGGTTTGGAGCATTCCAAGTAAATCGTGAAGTGAGGGCACCCCTCACCCCCCCCCCGGGTGGACTGAGGACTCTTGCGAATTTTGAAAATGGATTTTGCGAACCAACTGATGTCGATAGAGTTGCGGGATCAACCATACAAATACATGCTAATTACATACTAAATATAATTTTTTTTTTTAATTTAAATATTATATTCCATTTTTTAACAAAATTAAAACTATAAGTAATATGAATAACATAGAAAAGTATGTACAAACGTGAATAATGTTAAGAGGAGATCATTAATTAACAGAACCTCGACAAATAAAATTAAAATATTAACCTAGAACCAAATTTGAAAATAAATGATTTTGGTGTGCGGAGGGGATTGGAGACACAAGTTTACCTACAGCCCTCCACATATTTTTCGGTAACGCGCCTAATTAAAACGAATGTTAATTACAAAAGTTAACATTCAAATACATGTTAATTACAATTTAAATATGAATTGCCAACAGAAATTTATAAAAATCGAATATAGGTGGGGGGGGGGCACATACGTAAAGTGGCGCCAACGTACGCTTGCTACAAATATAGTTTGTTTGAACGATTTGTAGAAATATATTTTGTATTCTTTTACTAAAGATAAATGTGATTCATTATATTGCATATAAGTTAAGTTTATCTTCATTTTTAAAAGTGTCTACCATATATCAATATTCAGTGTTTAATAAATTTAAGACTTAAATTAAATTGTTTAAACAAATCGACGATTTCATAGTAGGATTTATGTTTAAATATTTTATTACCCAATGCAGATCCGGCACAAAATTTATCAAAAGTCACAAATGATTCAAATCCGTTTGTATACATATTCCGGCAAGAACTATGGTCAATGTATGGTAAAGATGCTTCTAACAAAGCAGGATTTGAAATGCCTTCTTCTGTTTTTTCCCAACCAACAATCTGTAAAATATAAAACAGTTGTATAATGTATCTACAAATATAATTAGGTGATAGGTATAGTTATTAATAGTTATATTTATCATAATTTTATTATTTAAATAATACTATAAACCGACCTTTCCTTGATCTCCATTGCTAACATTGTATATACTATTCCAATCGATACAAACAGGTGCTACACCATTACTAAAAGATATTCTATTTTGTAACACAATGATAGCTATATCTTCAGCATGAAATCCAGTAGGTCCATAATAACCTTCCTTCAGGTTAACAATATCTACCTATACAATTGTTTTATATTACTTATATCACACATATCATCCAAATTTGTTTTAAATTTTCAATGATTAATAACTTACATTAATTATTTGAGTAAAATCATTGTCAATGATTGAAAAATCTCTCGCATATTTTCCGACAGCAATTTTGTATAGACCGTCGTTTATTGGTATTCTATTGGATAACATACCTTTTTGCCAAAAACAATGAGCAGCTAAAAACGTATTTAATTAATTATTATTTCTTGAATACATTTTACGTAGATTTTACCAGAAACGACTAAATTTGGAGAAATTATTGATCCTCCACAAATCAAGTTATAATTGAAAGTTGTTTTATTTAATTTATATACTCCAACATTCCATGGTGCCGTCAATACAAGAGATTCTTCACCAATGTTAATCAATGTTTGGTTTATGATATACACTCTACCACAATCTGTAATAGTATTTGAAAAAAATAAATGTGATAATAGTTAATAAGTAATAAAACCTATAGAATATGCATAATGATGACGGTGTACAAATTTAAATCACACGATTATGCATAACCAATGCCTATCAATTTTTTCCCTAGTCTTATTATTATTATAATGCATACAGTTTAAGTTAAATAAATTAGGAGTATATATATAAATTAGAGACTTATGTTTTTATTATGACAACAAATACAATTACGTGGATCGCATTTATATAGTTGTTTATTCCACGTTCCATTAGATTGACAAATTAATTCATGTGGAGTGTTGTCTTGTCCATTTGGTGTAGTATATGTTGGCTTACATGATGGTGTTGCTATTGTATCGGGTATCGATACATTTGAACAATTAGTATACTTACCATTATGACTACATTTAATATCCAAACTATTTGAGTCTAGAGGTGGACACATTTCTATAAAAGTAAATAAATTATAATCCAACATATAGTATATACACACTGTCGCCTTTAAGTTTAAATATATAAATAAATAAGTAATTTTCACAACATTCGAAAAACTATACAATACTTACTGAAACACAATTTCTCAAAATTTGTTAACCATTTTCCTTTTCCCAGACAAAACCTAGAACTATTGGTATAAGCCTTATGATATCCAACTTCACAATTCTCAATAATAGTAAGATTTTGATTAATTAATGCCCCGTGAGATAATATTTCATGAGAATCTTCATAAGAATATACAACTCCATCGACGGTTGGTAAAACGCATGTAGTGTCTGTGAACTGTCAAAACCTCGAATGGTAAATTTATATATTATTCGTTCTAAAATATCTAAGTTGTATTGTCATTAAAAATCCAAGCCAATATAATAAGTCAAAAATTCAATTGAATACCTGTAAAGAAATATATTTACTTACATGTTTGTTTAAGATTTCACGAATCCATGGAACATTTTTTTTAATATACGGATAACCTATGACTGTAAAACAATAAAACATAACCATCGGAAACACATACTCTAACATTTGTATTGTAAGTTTAATTCTAATTAATAAATTCGAAAAATATTGTTATCGAAATTAAATTTTGTTTTATCAGTATATTTGTTTTCGCAAAATTTCTGATACATAGTATATTGTAAGGTTGTATTAATAACTCTTCACATTAGATAGATACATGTATTACATTTTAGATTCTGAGTGACACGATGAATGTATTGATTTTACGATGATGTGTGTTTTTTTTTTATTTCTTTATATTTTTTTTTACTTTTTTTTTTGTGTCTGTCATCAAGTTTTATGACAGTAAAAGTGCTTGGATTTTCTTCAACAGTAGCTTTTCTGATAGGAAAGTGAATCTAGTTGGTACCTTGGGGGGTAAAAAGTGAAAAATTAACAGTAGTCTTCAAAAGCGGCGTGAAAACCAAAATAAAAATTAAGGAAAAACGGGAATTTTTACACTAAATAGGTTTTCCAAAAAATCGATTTTGGTTTTTGGTGTAACTCTAAAAGAAATGAACGTATATACATGAAATTTTCACTGGTTGTTTATATTTGCATTTTATATACACGAAAACATTTTCAAAATATTTTGATTTATTTTGAACTGTTTAGGGACATTTTCATTTTCCATTTTTTTTTAGTTTTTTTTCTAAAAATATCAATAAAATTTTATTTGTTGGTTGCGAAAGCTTGAAAATTTAATAGAAGGCTCCTAGTATATTGTTTTAAAGGTAGATGAAAAATATTAAAAATCCTTAGTCACAATTTTTTTTTATAATCATTTAAATTTCAAAAATTGATAAAATATGGAAAAATCACTAAAATTAGCAAATTATTTTGAGTTAAGAATTCGGAAACATTTTTCTTTTTAAATCTAAGATTTGAAAATGTAATACAAGATTCCTTATAAGATTATCTACCTTTATCAACAAAAAAAACGTTTGAATCTGAATGTTTAAACTAGCATTTCCTATACACCATACAATTTTGAAAATATTTTGACTCTTTTTGAGCTATTTACGGACATTTACCGCTTTCAATTTTTTTTAGTTTTTTTTTTCTATAAATATCAATTAAGTTTTATCTGTTGGGCCAAAGAGTGTAAAAATATAATACAAGGCTCCTGATATATTGTTACAATATCAGTTGAAAAATATTAAAAATCCTTGGTCACAGTTTTTTTTTTATAAGCATTTAAAGATCAAAAATTGACAAAATATGGAAAAATCACTAAAATTAGCAAATTATTTTGAGTTAAGAATTCGTAAAAATTTTTCTTTTTAAATCTAAGGTTTTAAAATGTAATACAAGATTCCTTTTAAGATTATCTACCTTTATCAAAAAAAAAAAATGTCTATAAGAAAGTCAAATTAAATTTTTATGAGCGTTTGAAATTCAAATTTTTACAACATTGGATATTCATTTGATTTCTCTTGTAGCGATTTCCTTATTTTGTTGTAATTCAAAAACGAATAACTGTAGATACATGAAAATTTCACTGAATGTTCATATTAGCATTTCCTATCCACTGTACAAAATATTTTGACTCTTTTTGAGCTGTTTACGGACATTTTCAGTTTCCAATTTTTTTAGTTTTTTATTCTATAAATATCAATAAAGTATTATCTGTTGGGCCAAAAAGTGTAAAAATTTGATACAAGGCTCCTGATATATTGTTACAATATCAGTTGAAAAATATTAAAAACACATAGGCACATATTATTCGTGGGTACTTGAAACTTCTAAAGTACACTATTATATATCTATGGACTATGATAGTATCAGGGTTTGTTGTTGACGTATAACGCATTATAAGTACCTAATGGATATTGTGATGTGATTAATTTGGAATTTATTATAGGTACCTATTTTAGGTAAATTTTTTTTAAGACGATAGATAAGTATATAATATGTCTTATACCTAGACTGGCATACCGTCTCCGCTCAGAATCGTTTTTCTTATACAATGATATTATATCATTGAATTCAAATTTAATACTATCTATTATACAGTGACCCACTTGTAACCTACTGTACAGCAGAGCACCTTTTTTGGTTGATTTTATGGTATATGCTAACATATAGTCTTAATACCATGATTTTCTATTTATTATTATATTGTTTTTACTTACTGAAAATTAAGCATGGATATATTAACCAGGAATACTTCGCCTTCATTGTCAATTGTGAGCTGAAATTAAAGCAATTAAATTTAAAAATATATAAATAATAAATGTTCATACATAAGGTATACAAAATTAACGCCACTATACATTAAACAATATTTTACTAAACACGTTCTTACATGAGGTATACCGAAATATAGTATAATAATAATAAAATATATATTAAACACAGACAGTAACTTTATTGGATTAATTCATTTTTAATTTCATAAGTTAACTACATGAAATATACGATTATAACAACACAACATAATATCTAGTCATCCAAATATCTACACTACCTCACGATGCTATAGTATGTAGTCAGTTCGATATTATGAACCTACTAGCAGCTATATTCAAGGGCGTCATGGGGGAGGGGGTGTGGGGAGAATGACATGTCCCTCCTGGCTTTTCCATTTCTATTATACATTTATACATAATATATTATAATTGATACATTGAATAAAAAAAATTGATAATCATAGTGTCCGTTAATAAAATTTTGTTCTATAATCACAAAAATTAATTTTATCCACCCATAATATTACTTATTACTAATAAGTTATAACTTATAACTAACTTAACAAATTACAAATAACATAACAAATTTACTCTCAGAAGATCATGTTTAGCTCAGTTACATTAAAAATTAGAGTGAATTGATCTATTATGAAACTTGTTGATTAGAACATTATTCGTGTTTGTAAGAGAGCTTATTACGATAGTTAAATTTTTTAGCAAGTTATGTACATATAATATAGAGTAAATTCAAAATGGTTATAACTAACTTAAAAACTGAATTGTCGTAAAAACCAACATACAAACACAGATAATGTTCTTAACATCAATTTTCATAATAGGCCGATTCACTTTAGTTTCTAAACTAAGGGAGATGAACGTAATCTGCTATGAGTAATTTGTAAGAAGGAGACAACCTTTAGTATCTGTGTAGTGTCCTTTTAAAGCCACCATTAATAGCCAAATAGCCCACCATGCCACCCTTCCCCTCTCACGACTATAGAAGTCACTGAATTTTATGAGTCTTACTAATATATATAACTTTTTGTTTCAAATAAACGAACATTGTGTTCAGTAAAATAATGTATCTCTTAGCCTTAATTTAATGTATTAACTAAAAAAAGAAAGTGTTATTTATTATTATCAGGTATCATTTTTCTTCACCTTACCTAAACTTTGATGCACCTACAATTATTTTCTTATTTCACATTATGGTACTAATTAGTAATTATATGTCATACAAAGTAATTGTATGTACCTAAGTATTAATATTGTTGTAACAAAAATTCCATGATTAATAAAGCGATAGTAAAAAGATTATTTCCGAAATTATAATCTATTATATTATTATATTATAAAATTTAATCTTAGAAAATTAACACTGTACTTGTATTTTGTATACTTATTAGCTTGTATTATTATTACCTAATCAGTTTGAAATTGATTTTGGTCTATCAGTATTATTTATACCTATTATTGTAATATTTTATTTAAAACTCTTCAATGTAGATGGATTAATTTATTAAATTTTTTGAGTATATTTAATATTTAAATATTATAAATATTATATTAAGTACTATCATAATGTCATTAATACACGATTTTCTATTTATTATTATATTATTAACAGTGATTTTACTTACCGAAAAATAAACATGAATAAATTAACCAGGTATACGTCACCTTCATTGTCAATACCTAGTGAGCTGGAATTAAAGCAATTATGTTTTAAAATATAAACAATGACCTTCCAATTTCTCACATGTAGCTATAATAATATAATATACCTACCTACATTGAACACTGTAATATTTGTTGGGAATTTATTATTTTTAAACTTCATAAGATAACTCTATTTAAGAGACGATAGTACCCATATTATATGTATATTTTTATATACTTTATATAGTTTATCGCCTAGAGTTCTAGACACATAATATTTTGTCTTTTAAAAACCTTAACTGCTATGATTATGCTATAGTATGTATTGGGTTTGTTATTATATACCTCCTTCCAGCTATACGATCACTTTATAGACCGAAGGTCAAACTACGTAAATAGGTGGCAATGAAAAATGTTGTTACTACCTTGTTTTTAAATTGATTATATTTCAAAATATACAGCAAATGGTTTTTTGACGTACATACCTATATTAATTAATACGTGGCTAGATACCCATATTATTATAGGACTGTGTATTCGAAATTTGTAATACTTTGTTCTTAAAATGTAATATAATATTTAGTATTGCATTTCTCGTGTAAGTGCATAACTTATAGTTAAAATAACAGTCATCGCATATGCTTAGTATACAGTATTATAGAGTATGTATAGTTTGTATACATATTTTCAAAAAAATTTTTAAATGTCAATTGTAATAACAATTGAAATAAATGTCGTTCAACTTTTTTACCTTTTTTTATATCTCAACGTTAACGTCAACACCTTTGATAAATGTTTCTTGTACCTATCTTATATGATAATATTATAATAAGTTCTCATGTAGTCATGTAGGAATTAATTATTTCACACAGCGTAATAGAGATGACTATTTAGGTACGCCTGTGTTTTACGTTATTTTGTTAGTACTAATCACATTATAACATATTATGCTAAAAAATAAATAATTGGAATAGAAAAATGTACAAAATGCTGTACATCAAACGTAATAATCTCGTTAACACATTCATGGGTATAATTATTGGTTAGAGTGAAACAATGCATCATAATATAATAATGTAATAAGTAACTATCAAGTATTAATTATATAACACGGCGTAATAGATAGACTATTTAGGTACGCCGGTGTCTTGGGTTAATTTTTCAGTTCTAATCTAAATTATATTATTATCTATTAATACTGCTAAAAATATTATAATATATGATTAAATTTGAAAAAATTTGAAAAAATCCGTCAAAATCATGAAAATTTGCAAATTGTAAAGAAAACTACTGGTAGAAATTCATAAACATTTAATTTTATATCCAAGCTTTGAAAAAGGTGGGCAAGTGGGTGTCACTCTGCTGTACAGTAGGTTACAAATGGGTCACTGTATAATGGATGGTATTAAATTTGAATTCAATGATATAATATCATTGTATGAGAAAAACGATTCTAAGCGGAGACGGTATGTCAGTCTAGGTTTAAGACACATTATAAAAATATCAATGGTAATAAAAAAATTTTGTACAGTCTTATCATAGAGCATACTTCTTATTCATTTAGTATGGTAGATTGTATGGATAGGTCATAATATTTTGATTTTTTGATTTTTAGTTTCATATACCTATCCCCGCATAATATTTTTAAATTACAAAAAACTAAAATCGTTAATATTGATTTTAATATGTAATTTTGTCCAAATTTGAACATAAAATGACTATAAAAATAAACTGTGCTAGTGTATTATTTAGTTTTTTTGGTAACAGAATCAACTACTTACTTGAAATCTTGTTTTAAATTTTCAAACCTTAGATATAAAAGTTGAACATTTTATACATTTTTAACTACTAAATAATTATTCAATTTTAAATTGATGAATCTTGTCAAAATTCGATATTTAAATGCTTATAAAAAAAAATTGTGCCTATGTATTTTTAATATTTTTCAACTGATATTGTCACAATATATCAGGAGCCTTGTATTAAATGTTTACACTTTTTGGCCCAGCAGATAAAACTTCATTGATATTTATAGAATAAAAAACTAAAAAAATTGGAAACTGAAAATTTCCGTAAATAGCTCAAAAAGAGACAAAATATTTTCAAAATTGTATGATGTATAGGAAATGCTAATATAAACATTCAGTGAAATTTTCATGTATTTACAGTTATTTGTTTTTGAATTACAACAAAATAAAGAAATCGCTACATGAGAAATCGAGTGAATATCCAATGTTGTAAAAAATTGAATTTCAAACGCTCATAAAAATTTAATTTGACTTTCTTATAGACATTTTTTTTTTTTGATAAAATTAGATAATCTTATAAGGAATCTTGACACGCAAAGTACCTGTATACTAGCGTATATTGCATTTTTTACTCTCGTGTTGACGTAAACAAATTTTACATAACTTCAACTCTGTCGCACGTTTTATTCGCTCTGGTACAGTTAAACTATAAAATTTAGGACATTTATAAATCGTATGTGCCGATTTACAAACATAGCATTCCAAATTTGACGTCGACGCGAATAATTGTGACGTTCCTCTTTTTTCGATATATTTTTTCTCATTTGATGTCGTAATTGTACTACCTTTAATATTTATATTTCTTATAGTTTCAATTGATTCTAAAATTTTATACTTTGACTCTAAAAATGTAATTAACTCTGATAATTTTGGCACTTCGGTACAATGCGCTCTCGATTCCCACTCTTTTAGTGTAATTTTATCTAATTTAATTGATATTACATGTATTAATAGTGGTCCCCAGTTTGTGGGTTCTTGACCCAGCGCCTTTAATGCACGCATATTATGTCCAATCAGCGCATCCGTAAACTGTCTCAATTTTTTCGCCGAATCACCGCCCACCGTTTCGAGATCATATATCGCTTTTACATGTGCTTGAACCATCACCTTTTTATTATTGTAACGTGTGATTAACGTATGGTATAATTATTAGCTGTTTTTTCCAATCATTTAATCGAACTTAATACCTCGCCTGATAAAGATTCGCGTAAATAAAAAAACTTTTCTATCGCCGTTAACGACGTATTGTTATCTATTAGTGCCGAAAATATGTCATAAAATGATGCCCATTCTTGATAATTATTAATTGCCGGTAAATACCGGTACGCTCAACGACGACAACTTTACCGTCGACATTACTTTATTCATACACGCATTAGGTATATCAGTGTCGGGACTTTTATTACTATTCTCGTCTTGCGATATAATCGAGCCCGCTGCTATTACGATTTTCTCTGCTGTAGCAATAGTTTTAAAGTATAAATCTTCAAACTCCGCTCTCTATTTGTTTTGTATCTCGATACTGCTTCAATCTTCCATTTCTATGGCCGCTTGAACCTGTTCATATTCTGCCCATACCTCTTCTATTTTTTCACGCCGGGAATTTACCTCAGTCGAATCAACATTCTGCTATTGTAGATAATTTGAAAATCTTGTTATCGACGCTTTCAATTGTCCTCTTCTCATTGTCATATTCTCGTTTCCCCCCATCTTCACGACCTATGTTCAACTGTGCAATCTCAGATATAGAGAGAGAACTGAGAGAGAGAGAACGCCAGAGCGAAAGACTATACTGTACTATGACCTTATCCTTATATCTGTACTATATTTATTATTTACGTATACAACATACTCGGGTAAAACCGCCTAGGATTAAGTTTAAGTCTACAATGGAAAACGCCTTACCTTATATTCCTGTGGGTGAACTTTACTCCTGTGGACTGTATTTTCGCATGCTCTTTCTCAATTTTCGCTGATCAATACACTTATGGTCTTTTGCTTGACCAGTATAACTGATTGACACAATAACGTTAAATAATAATATTTAATTCACACTTTAACTAATTGCCGATTTGAATCCCGGACGAAGGACCAATGTATACGCTAGCTCAGGATTTTAAGTTATTAAAATAATAAAACTTGCTTAATACTAATTTTAATTTTATTTATTAGTTCACCTATCGAGCGGCTACGACGAGTACTTACATAGGTACGGTTTTACTGCGACTTTTCGACTCAACAACGGTCGATCGCTGTGTCGGACGTATCTTATCTACTATTAAATAATATTGTACATTATACAGATAATAGTTATAAGTTATAACTTACAATATTCCCAATTATATAAATATAACATTACTCGCGTACGCAACAGTACCAACTAGATTCACTTTCCTATCAGAAAAGCTACTGTTGAAGAAAATCCAAGCACTTTTACTTTCCTAAAACGTGATGACTGACACAAAAAAAAATTTAAAATTTAAAAAAAAAACACATCATTGTAAAATCAATACATTCATCGTTCCACTCAGAATCTAAAATATTATCAAATATTGAAAATTCAATAGTAAAAAAATTGATGAAAATCTAATGTATCAATTGTTATTTTTTATTTTTTTTTTTAATTGATCTTAAGCCCGGCAACTATGGCCATTAGCTGTATGGTTTTTTTATAGGTTTTTATGTTGGTAGGGGGAGGAACACGTGTGTGTTGGGTTTGGCAGAATTTTGAATGGGGCACCCGTAGGTTTCTGCCATGCCCCGGAGTGGGGGATGGCGGCACTTGTTCTCCGGACACCGTGACTTGCCCGGAGAAAAATACCGCCCAGTGGTCGAGAGGATCGAACCCGCGACCGCCAGCATCAGAAACGATACTGTTGAAGAAAATCCAAGCACTTTTACTGTCCTAAAAGGTGATGACAGACACAATAAAAAATAAAAAATAAAAAAAACACACATCATTGTAAAATCAATACATTCATATTTTCACTCAGAATCTAAAATATTAATATATTATATTGAAAATTCAATAGTAAAAAATTGGTGAAAATCTAATGTATTAATGGTTACTCTTAATCTATGGTTATTCGTTTTAGTTAACTCTCAAAAACCAATATAAAAATTGTCTAAAATTGGTTTTTCATAAAAAATACCGCTTATTGTGTAATATTTATTTTCGGTATTAAACAGTTGCACACAACAGCTGTTATCGTGATTTTA